CCGTAAAATCGACGCAAACTCTCTAAGTCCCATTTTTCTTCTTCACAACCACAGTATTAGAGAGTCATGTGGGGTAAGTCACTTCCCTGATTGCTCCGGCATCAAGAAATCGGTCTACCTCTTCAACGACGGCGGTAGTGTGCTCTACAACTGATCGTCGACTTTTCTAAATGATCGGCTTGTACTTAGGGTCAACATTCAAACGGTGCTCCGAAACAGATGGGTCTATGCCCGGCATTTCATATGGAGTCCACGCGAATACATCAAGATTGCCGAGCAGGAAGGATACTAGCTGCTGTTGGTCGGCTTGACTCAAGGAGGCGCCGACCATGAAGAACCTCTCTGGATTGCCGTCAATCTCAACTCGGTCTAGGTCTTCCGTGGCTTTCTCATTTGGGAGTCGCCCAACATCGTCGAGGCTGTCTCGATCCAGCCCCTCAATGGAATTAACTTGCAACTCCTTTGGCGTCTTTTCGGAAAGGAGATAACATGCCTGTGTCGATTGCTGGGAACCACGGATTTGCTTAATGCCGTGTTCTGTCGAGAAGCGCAGCAGCTGATGATAGGTGTTTGGAACGGCGCACATTGTATGCAACCAAGTTCGCTCCATGATGAGATTATACGGCGAAGGAAGCTTGACGACCACATCCACTGTTCGGGAGCCCGCTCGAACGAGTAGTGTGATTTTCCCCAACGGATACTCTGGATTTGTGTTAAAGCCGAATAGTGGATAAGGAGCCGATGACAGGTCTGATTCGTTGAAGCTGAGTTTGATGAAGGTCTTGTAATACATAACCTCCGAAGTACTCCCCTAGTCTATGAGAACACGCTCAACGGTAAATCGGTTTACGCGTAGTTCAATGACCAGTGGATCAATGTGGGGGACTGTTATGTCGATAAGATCAGAATCGTCGAAGGTAATACTCGGAGCTTCACGTGGCCTTTTTGCTGGCGTTAGTTGTTTTTGGGGTACTGGGTTTGACTAAATTGCATGCACGGTTGGAGGCGTTGGTAAGCTGTATATCATATGAATGACGCCAGGCGGGGGCGAATCCTGCCGCAGTGCAACTGTTTTGGTTGCGCTCTTTCGGACATGTTGCTGAAGCCGACCATCTTGCATCAACTCCTCAAGGTGGTCTTTCAAAACATAGCAACTGTCGGTGTCATGACCGTGATCGTTTTGATATTCACACCGCCTATCTCGTCTTCTCATATCGGGAGATCCCACCACTTTGGACGGCCATTTGAAGGACAGAAGGTGTTGAACTTTGGACATGACTGAGCTGATTGGTTCGCTCCTCTTTCTGGGCTCCGAGGATAATGAGTAGGAGTCGCTATCAGAGTCTTGTTGCCGGGCTCGAGGTCGTCGACCACCTGCTTTCAAAGGTCATTCCGGATCTTGGCGTACGGCTTGTTTGGACTTTGCCACTTCCAAGGCCAAATCCTGACGGAGACGCTCGTTCTCAGCGATCATGTTCTCCAACCTTTGCTTGTTTTGCTTTGTCTGTTCCATGATCGCTTGCATGCTTTGGAGTCGAAGGTGAGGCAAAGTGCAAAGTGCGTCTTGCTAGGATAATCTCCGGTCCATGCATGTTTGTTGGAGTGAAATCGTCTATCTGCGTGGTTTCATCAGTGACTATTGAGGGGTCCTTCGTCACGCCCGCTATGGATATGCTTGAGTATTCCCACAGACGGCGCCAATTGTGGAGAAGTGGTTTGGAAATAATCTTCTGATCTTGGGGGATGCTCGTGATCCGCCGATAGTCACCTGAAAAGGAATAAACACTCCGGTCGGGCGTGCCGAAATTAACACTCCGACGGACAAGTCAGTCTTTACGCTCAAGATTACTTATATTCTAAATTAAGCACAACAATTCTCACATACTTTTCTTAGTCTGTTGTTCCTTTATTTATACTCGTTTCCTGGGCCTCGAGGCCAGGTCCACTTTTCACTCATTATCCTTTTATTTACCCGGCTCCATAGTTCAGTATCCACTCAGCTTATCTGTTTTATTCAGCTTCCTGATCATGGAGGAAAGAGTCGAGTAATGTAATTCTTCTAGAGTATACTTCTGATTCTTCCAATTATCCGGCCCCCACAATTATTTTTAAAGAGATTATCAAAATTATGTTAGCTTTTTATTTTTTAAAAAAATTAACGTGATCTTGAGATTATAGATTTTCAATTGACTTATTTTTTTTACGAATGTTTTATTGAATGAATCATATAATATAAATAATTTAAATTATCAAGAAGTATGGAATTTAAAATTTGAAAGGATGTCTAATTAGGGTGTAACTCAAGTGGGTTTGGAGGTAGTCCAAGCTCAGTCCAAGTTGTGCTGAGACTTGTTCAGGCCCGTCTAAGCCCAAATTATAATTCGAGATTGCATGTCCAAGCCCGACCCGAGTTAAATCCAAATTGTCCGAGTCACCTGAATTGTAAATAAATTTAATTTTTTTAAATTTTTTTATTTTATCTTATTTTTTTGCAATTGCATTATTAAATTATTAAAATTTGAATCTGTTTACATTTTTTTTTATTATAGAAAATCATTCATACCATCAAAACAAATAATTTATATAATGTAAGAGATATGACGCTATAACAGTCTTTACAATTTGAGTGAAAATAAAAAAAGTAAGATTTTATGTTATTTGTGTATATAATAATATATATTCAATATGATTTAATAATCTAAATTACTTTGATATCATGTAATGACTAATAATTTATATGTATATTTAATATTTTTATATATCTATATATATATAATTCGAGCTTCAAGTTGTCTGACGTTTTTGTTCAAACACGCCCACATTTAATTTGGGATCCTGAATTTTTTTCCAAGACTGTATCGAATTTAAAAATATCTTACCCATGCCCTAAAAAATTTAGGTTGGGTTCAAGTTGCTCAGGTTGAACCCGGCCAAATTGCACTCTATGTCTTATGCCATTTGCAGGCATTAATTGATATCATTTTCACCTTTCTTTTTTGAAAATGTAATTGATAAGTTTGTGAAAATTCATTTTCATGTTTTGTGGAAGAACAATTTTTTGAAATGTATTATCCATTAAGTCTTATTGATAAGTTTCTCTTATTTTTATGAATAAATTTAGAGTGATAAATTTATTAGGATTTGTGGGTAAATAAGTTTAGTTAATAGAACTAATTAGTAAATACCTCATAAAATTATCATATTACCTTCATTTTTAATCATACACAATCAAATTCCTGTCTATACACTATTACAATATTCTCCAATTGTTTTTAGAGACACCGAATGCTTGCAAATATTAATGATGGTGGTGTTGTTCAAGAGGGGGAGAAGGTGGTGCGATGGTTAGGTAAAATAGTGTTACTAGTCAAGAGAAAATGGAGAATAAGAGCATCTCCAATGCACTAGGCATATAATACTTATTAGTTAAAATGTCTAGTGTGATTCACTTTTTTCAATTCCAATGCACTAGGCATATATGATTAGGCATTTTGGCTCAACTCATATTCACTAGCTACATGTAGCTAGCCTTCAACGCTAGGCAAAACATATTCAATCATTAGGATCATTTCCCTCCATCTTTGTTGTTGACGTGGCATTCTATAAAATTAATAGTATTTAGATAAATAGCTAAAATAAAGAGCATGGTTGGAGTAAAAACATAAAACAGTTAATAGGCAAAATAAAATATATACTTTATAGTAATATTTAGATAGGTAAAATGCCTACTACCGTTGGAGATGCTCTAAGGTGAGATAGGAAAAATAAAAAATAAAATAAAGTGTTTAACTTCATAAATGTTAGTATAAATATTTTTGAAAAAATTACGTTATAAACTTTGTAAATTAGACGTAAGGATTGATTAACGGAGATGGGCCATTTATTATGTATAATGGTGAGATGTAATTTCTCAAATATGGAGAGTGAATCTGCATTTTTAATAAAAATGATATAATTTCTCAAAGGGTGATTTTTAATTTACTTAAAAGTTTAATAAATATTGGGGTGTCTTCAGAAATTTTCTCAAAACCAGTTTCCAGAATGTTTGGTTTGTGTTTATATATATATATATATATATTTGAATTGTTTTGGAAAAAATAGAAAGACAAAAATAAACATGTAAAATATATTTTTAAAATTATTTATACCATTTAAAAAGATAAAACTGTATGAAAATGTTAAATACTTTTGATACTTTTGTTTTTTTTCATGAAACTAATTTTTAATTTTTTTTAAAAAAAAAAATTTGAAACAAGTTTTTGAAAACCAAACCAAACATTTTAGGCAATTTTGGTGTTAGTTGCTTTTTTTCCTCCAATTTTTGAGAAAAGAAAATTAAAAACAAAAACAATATCAAACATGGCACTAGAAAGTCAAATTATGAGACATAAGTCGTTCATTTTGTAAGATCCTTAGTTATATAATCTATAAATAAAATAAATCGATTAAATAATTGTATCATTTTTATTTTATCGTGTTTGTCTTATAAAAAATGGATGATAATTATATTTTTAAAAATAGACTATATATTATTTTGGATCATTAAAACGGGACTTATGGTAGGTCCCATATGCCCTCAAGTTAAATTTTTTTTTGCATCATTTGAGAGTTCAAATTATTACAGTAACCCTGGGATGGAATTAAGGCATGAGTGATTTCTTCACTAATTATATAGGATCAGTTAATCATCCTTTCTGTATTACTAACACAATTATTATTATTGTTCACAAATTCTTTCCATAGATACCCTTATTTTCATGTGGCAGAAATAGGAAAATTCAGGATAAAAATTTCAGTAGCTTCCACACCATAAGCAGGGTCACAGATAGAACCCATAACAGAATTACACAAGATCATAACTAACAGATTATCCGATTCATGATCTGATTTCAGTAGCTGCTCCATCTATGATCCGATTCTGTTAAATTTTTAATTATCAAATCTTTTCTAATAATATTTCAGAGGTTTATAGACATTATGGACTACAATTAGGGGCAGTATTGCAGTAAATGTACAAACTTTGTGTATAGAGTATACTGTAGAAGTTTCCATTTCTTATTTCCAGTAGGATATGCTGTTTACTGTCTTATTTTACAATATCTGAAATACATCATGTTCACTATGCAGGAAGGTTCTTGTGTTTGAGCTTTTTCGTTATTTCAGCTACGTACTTACCCTGATGAAAGGCCTGTTGGAGTTCGAGCTCTGTGGGCTGACGAGATCCATCTCCCGCATAAGTTCCAGCTCCATAAGAAGATCCACCCCTCACCTCATTCATCTCAAACATGCCACTCCCAAAAGTGTAGCCGAGAGGGACAAATATCATTCCGTGATGGGCTAACTGTGTTACAGCTGTCAATCTGAAAGAGCCGAAAAAAGAAGAATGAACAGTCGTATATCAGAAATTATGCAAACTATAGTGTCTTAAACATCGTGCAATTAATCCACACATGATCCATTATTATTGTTGTGATGGGAACAAACAGAAACAAGAAAGTAAAACAAAGCAATCACATAAGAACACGAACATGTAAGTGGTTCGGCTATTATCCTAGCAACTATCAAAAGAAACAGAAATTACAAGAAGCAACTGTCTCTACCTAAGCTGCCAGTAACAAGAGTTCTAATCCCCAAAATAATCCATAATATATATTAAGATCTAAATACAACAAGAGCCGGGTTGGACCTAGCAGTGGGTCACAAATGGGTCATAAACTCAGACCTGGTAGAATACAAAACACCCACAACAATTATAAATCAATAATCAAAAGAATATTTGGAATGAATTCAGAAATCTCTTATGTAGCCAATAAAGAAACATCCTGGAATGAGAAAACATCACAAATTCAATAAGGAATCAGCAAAATAAATTGATCAAAGGTAATGCAAGGTAGGCATATCAGTGAGGCGATTAAACATAAAATAATGTAGACAGTCATTGAAATTGCAATTTCACCACAAAAGGAGTCAATTAGATAGAAATGAAACAATTGGAAAGCCTCAAAACAAAAATATCTCAAATGGGTCTGCATAAGAGGAAGAAGAATGAGAAAAACTCACGCAGTAAGCTCCTGCCCTCCCCCATGGAAACCGGTACTCCAGAAGATTCCAGCAGGTTTGCCGGCAAGTGCTTGGGTAGCCCATAACTCATGAGTGGCATCAAAAAATGCCTTGAATTGGGCTGCCATCACCCCAAAACGAGAGGGAAAGCCAAAGATGAAGCCATCAGCATCCAGAAGCTGTTCTGGCCTGATCTCCGGCACATCATTTGCTTTATCAGGAGCCTTCATCTTTTCGAGTACCCTGCTAGAGAGTGTCTCGGGCACCTATTCCATTCAAATTTATGTTATTTAGGCCGCAGATTATTCAGATACATGGAACAGGAATAGGAACAAAAAAACTACATGCTATAAAATATCATAAGATAGAGATAGACCTGTGTATATTACACTATTACAATTCAAGATACTTTTAACGAAACTTTCTTTTGATGATTAAACCCCTTTCACCATTAGATATTGATAATGTAAAAACTTTTAATTTTTTAATTTTTATGCATTTTATCCTTCCAAAACTTTAACTCTCTCTAGATTTTGGTTCATTATATTTGATTATTTTTAATTTTATTTTCATAAGAAACCTTTCAAGGAACTAATTGACAAAATTTGGGATATCACTATATTCATCATTTTGAAATACAAGCATTATCCTATTTCAAAGTATTCGAATTTTGTGGTGATACTGATTCAAATTATTAAAAGCAACTCCTAACATTCTTAATTAAAGTAATCATTTCTCACATAGAATTTTGGAGAGGCCATTGACAAGAAACAAAGTACCTGCCAAAGAATAGCTTCAACACCCTCAACCGCATTAGCTCCTTGCTGTACTTGTCGTGCCATAATCTCCACATGCCCATACAACGAGTAATATCTGCAACAGCAAACAAGAATCGGATTCAATTCAACATACATATCTGGAGAGAGACAGAGAGAGATGGATTAACTTACACTATGTAGATCTTGGTGGTGGACATAGCTGCATCTGAAGACAATAGTTATAAAAAAAATAAGCATAGAATTGAGTTGGGAATTTGATCAAACAGAAAGATTGCAATACAAAACTACCTGAGCAACCAATGATCGGAGAGCTAAGAAATCTGGGTTTTGTTTTTGAGTAGTAGTAGGAAGAGTTAAGAAGAAGAAAGAGACAAACACTTGAGATTCCGCCACGTCGAAAGGCCTTATCGGAATGATAATGAGACTCTTATCAACTCTGGTTTTGTACTCGTTCTCCGTCTTTTTGCTTTCCCAACTAACACAAGTTTTGTTTGGACTCATTAGTATGAAAATTGTTTAAGAGCTCTAAAACATTGAGTTTTAATAGTTCTAAATATATTCTAACTTTAATTGATTTAATATTTTACTCTTTGTTTATTTATTTATTTTTTTTAGTTCTAAATATACTCTAACTTTAATTGATTTAATATTTTGCTCTTTGTTTATTTATTTTTTTTTTTATTTCCTACACAAGCCAGCTCATAGCTGGCTTAGTGCTCTCTTTTTAGTGGTATGCATCACTACTGTATTGGTATATGGAATGGATACCCTCCAGTCACTGTCTGGGTCATGGGGTTTATAACTAGGCTGTCCCTTCTCTTCCGTCCGAGATTGGACTGGTGCTTTTGGATTTTTGTGAGTTTATCATAGAATTTATATTGATAATTTGATTCATTTAATGTGTAGAACTCATTAAATATTTCATTCTTACAACAAACTACGTTATTCAAATATTAATAATTATTTAATCAGATCAAATTTGTATCAACGGTAATTTTGATTTTAAAAATAAATTATTCATACAAATATGATCTGATCAAATTACTATTGATATCTGATTAACGTAATTTTTTATAGGTATGAGATAATCGACAAGTGCTACACTTTAATGGTTTGGATCGTCGGGATGGGCCCATAATGGGTGGGATTGGACTATCCAGTTGGCTAGTCCAACTGGAGACAATCCAAATCCTTATTACTGTCTGTTTTGATGATTCAAAATTTTCATTTTGTCGGACAATTTGTACATATTGTTCACATAAAAAATTAAATCAATTTAATTAAGGGCATTCGGGTGAAAAATCCAATTTTGGATTTTTCTTGCCCAAAGGTCCAATCGCTATTTTATTCTGTCCATAAGGACAAGCTATGACAAAAAGATCAAAATACCCCTACATATATATATATATATATATATATCATATTTACAGCACCACACTACGCACACCACACTTTCTTTTTTTTTCTTTTCTTTTCTCTCTCTCTCTCGCTTTCCATTTTTAAACCCCAACCATCTCTCTCTCTAAACTTTCTCTCATCCATCACCAGTCCTTCGTTATTAGAGCAATTGCCGTTGGCTTTGCGTCTCTACTGTCCACTACGCTACTAGAACCGTTGCCATCGCTGCTGCCGCCGCCACCGCCCCCTGGACCCCTCATCCCCTCTTTTATGGTTGTTTACGATTATCATGAGCAAAACCCGCCCATATAGATTAAGGTCATAACTGGCCAGTAATCAAGAAATTACTTGCGACCTCAATCCTGATTAAACATATTTCAATAGAAATAAGGGGTCAAAACAGAAGCAAATTTAAAAATTTTGTCCAATGAGCTGTGCTTGCATGGCCAAGCATAACATTCCATAATAACTCACACATATAAATAAAGTTAACATCTTATACATCCAGGAACTTGCAGATATGCAATCAACCAAAAAAAAAAAAAAAAAAAAAAAGAAAAGAGGCTTATGTACATGGGTGATCCAATGTATTCATCAAGATAGCAAAAATGGTGAACAAAAGAACAAAAACAATGTCTTGTGCATGAGACATTTGGGCTGACTTCACAAGACTTGACTTCCTCTCACTTTCTTCACTGAGACTGGGTTTGGACATCTCTTTGTTCACCTACATACATATAAATAAGAATGAGCGAAAGCCTAGTGAATAATATCAAAATAAGGAAGTTACATAAATGTAATTCGTTACGGACATAACGGACGGCTTTAGGCCCTTTCATGTTTCTATTTAATACATCAAACGACCTCAGGCCCAAGCATATCAAACGGCCTCGGGCCCAATTCCTTCTTATCAATCGGCCTCGGGCCCAATTCGTTCATGTCAAATGGCCTTTGGCCCAATCATTCGTGTCAAACGGCCTTTGGCCCAATCATTCGTATTTATGTGCATTTCATACTTGAGATCATAAGCATATGATAATCATAATCATATTCCAATAGCCTTATTCGATCATTGGCATAACGAATATTCGATTCAATTTAACAAATCCGTAAAACTCATACAGAAGTGGGCATTTGGAAAGTAGCATACTTCAACACATTCTTACTAAGATATTACTCACAATGTTCTGCCGATGGATTTGCCCTTGCGCTCGACCTTACACATTTCATAACACATTGGGTCACAAGCGATTAAATCCGCTCTTAATTTATTTATTTCTCTTAGACCTCTTTCTTAATGCAATCAACCAATCAACCAAAAAAAAAAAAAAAAAAGAGGCTTATGTATATGGGTGATCCAATGTATTCATCAAGATAGCAAAAAGGGTGAACAAAAGAACAAAAACAAAGTCTCGTGCGTGAGACATTTGGGCTGACTTCACAAGACTTGACTTCCTCTTACTTTCTTCACTGAGACTGGGTTTGGACATCTCTTTGTTCACCTATATACATATAAATGAGAATGAGCGAAAGCGTAGTGAATAATATCAAAATACGGAAGTTACATAAATGTAATTCGTTACGGACATAACGGACGACTTTAGGCCCTTTCATGTTTCTATTTAATACATCAAACGACCTCAGGCCCAAGCATATCAAACGGCTTCGGGCCCAATTCCTTCTTATCAATCGGCCTCGGGCCCAATTCGTTCATGTCAAACGGCCTTTGGCCCAATCATTCGTGTCAAACGGCCTTTGGCCCAATCATTCGTATTTATGTGCATTTCATACTTGAGATCATAAGCATATGATAATCATAATCATATTCCAATAGCCTTATTCGATCATTGGCATAACGAATATTCGATTCAATTTAACAAATCCGTAAAACTCATACAGAAGTGGGCATTTGGAAAGTAGCATACTTCAACACATTCTTACTAAGATATTACTCACAATGTTCTGCCGATGGATTTGCCCTTGCGCTCGACCTTACACATTTCATAACACATTGGGTCACAAGCGATTAAATCCGCTCTTAATTTATTTATTTCTCTTAGACCTCTTTCTTATCCTTTTAGTTCATTTACAATGCTCAATGCATGCCTAAGAGTGTTTAGAAGTGAAAAAGAACGGAAAACGAAACATAAAGCATATTTTCAAAATTTCTAAAATAGGGCTCTTTACTCGAGTGCATCTTTGGTCGCTCGAGCGGACTGCAAAGCTCTATAAAAGTATTGATTGCATGAATTTTATACTCGAGCGAGACTTCTAACGCTCGAGCAAGGAGTCTTGCAAAACAAGGTCTGCTCGAGCGTAAGGTTTGCCGCTCGAGCTACCGTGCAATTCACTATAAAACTTCTGGGAGCTTGATTTTCACGCTCGAGCGAAACTTTTCTCACTTGAGCGGACAGGTCGAATTCTGGGTTTTCTAGAATTTTGTTTGAAGCTTAAAACACAATTCCAAAGGTCCAATTCAAGTATAACTCACCCAATTATGCAAGAATACTCTCAAAAACATATATTTGAAGAGAACCCTTCAACCATAGTTCAAAATTCTATGGGTTTAACAAATTTCAAACCATAAACTTATACATACACAATTCATGTTTTGTATCTTGCATGGACAAGCTTCAAGGCTTGAAATCAAGCTTCATCATATGGAAATTCTTACATGCATGTGTCAAACAACCCTCAATACAACATGATTAACATGCTTCATAGTCAAATATGCAAATTTGTGGCTAATCCTCACATGCATGTACATATTAACTTCAAATTCGTTACAATCAACTTAATTCTTGCTCTTAATTGCACATCTTGCTTGAATTCACTTAATTATGAACTTAAACTCATGAAGTTGAGTTCAATTACTCACCTAAGAGCTCCAATTCTTAAAATTATAGCTAATTCATAAGCCTAGCTTCCAAATTCTTAAGCTTTTAGTTCAAAGCTCCAATTTTGTGCTCCCTCTCTCTCTATAATCGTCTCTCTCTCTCTCTCTCTCTCTCTCTCTCTCTCGAGTGTGTTTCAGATTTTTTAGCTCAAGAAAAATGAAGAGCTTAAGTATAAATGGGCCTATATATATGCTTGCCTAATCAACCTTGATTAAGGTTAATTAATTGTGTCTAATTCAATCAGTTTAATCTAATTATTTTGATACGAATCAACTTTTAATTAAATTTCACCATAGGCTCTAAAAATCATGCTAAATGCAGAAACATGAGTCAATTTAAGTTTCTGTCGTCTCTATAGCCTTTAATTAAATTTTATAGTAGATATTCAAACAGATCTTCCTACGGTGAACAGATAAAATTTCAAAAACACATATAATCACATAATTGACATTAAAAATCATATCAAGCTCATAATTATAGGCATAATTAGGATTAATTTGCATAACACGGGACAGGGTTATCATAATTTGCCCTCATTTAGGAAGTTTGGTCCTCTAAACTTATTTTACCTCCGTTCGGAAACAAATATGGATAGCATAGCCGCATCTCATTCTCTTTTTCCCATGTAGCGTCCTTCCCATAGTTTTCTTTCCATTCTACCTTTACCATTGGGATAGACTTATTTCTCAACTGTTTCACTTGTCAGTGAATGATCTGCTCTGACCATTCTTCGTATTCCATATTTTCATCAAGAGCTCTCCGGTGGTAATCAATCACATGAAATGGATCTCGAAAATAACCCCTCAACATTGATACGTGGAACACATTGTGCATTTGTTTGAATCCCGGTGGCAAAGCAACCCTATAAGCAACTAGACCAAGCCTTTCCAGAATTTGAAGCGGCCCAATGTACTGGGGTGACAATTTACCTTTTTTTACCAAATCTTGACTGGTTTTTCATCGGAATCACAAGGATAAAGACGTGATCGCCAACCTCATACTCAAGAGGTCTTCTTCGAACATCCGTATAATTCTTTTACCGGCTTTGTGCTATCTTAAGCCTTTGTTGGATGATTTTAATTTTCTTCAAGGTGTCTTGCATAATTTCAGGCCCAAGTAAAGCTCTATCTTCGACTAATGTCCAACAAATCGGCGATCTACACT